ATATCATATGACTTTACATATTCACTCCCAAGTTTTACCATGTATTTGAGAAACATTGGGATGGCTCATGCCACTATGCCATCCCAAAAATCCAAGAAATTACAGAAATAGCTACAGAACCAAGACACACCATAATCTAAATTTGTCTTCTCCACATCAAAACACATCATTCTGCAGCAGACATAGATAAAGAAATACATTTTATATATATATATATATATATATATATATATATATATATATATATATAATAATTCAATTTTGGTTTAGTCCCAAGTTTAGATAAGGCTTTCTAGTTCATACGAAGAGCTGTTACACTGAACTCAAGAAAGTCCACACAATCACAGTGTTACATACAGCATACATACACTTTCCAGCAAAGCCATGCTCATTTTCCCTCTTCTTCCTATCTCTCAGTATTATGTTAAGAGCTCTCTGCAGCCAAAAGGTAAATAGAACTAAAGAACAGTCTACCTTTTTCACATTGTAGAATCACAGGATGTTCTGACTTGGAAGGGACCTGCAAAATCATTGAGTCCAACTCTTAAATGAATGGCTCATACAGGGACAGAACTCACAGCCTTGGCATTATTAACACCATGCTCTGAGCAACTGAGCTAATCTCCTACAGCCACTGCCTGGGAACAAACTAGAGCACAGATTTCATATGAACTTCAACCCTATCAGTCACACCAAACTCTGCAGAAGTATGAAAAAGTTCACATATTCAGGGCACAAAATCTAAGCAAACTTTCTGCACAGAAGATTCAAAATGCAAACACAGCATGATTAGGGCTGGAATTTATATCTATATATATACACACACACATTCATATAAAAACCAAAACTGACTCCACAATTTTCCTCAGACTGGTCCAAGTTTACCCACTTCTGCAACGGTGCCACAAGGTCTGATCAAAACTTCAGTCAAGTTTGCCAACATACGTCTGTCTAACTATAAACTAATGCAATCATTTTGACACCAAATCATCAAACATAATTTTTCTGTTGTTTGGGGGGGTTTTGTGTTTAGCACAACTTTAAAAAAATCATTCAGTTGAAGCAATAGGACTGTCTAAAGTTCAGTTGTTGAACACAGGGTAAGATTACATGGAACTTTTTCCAATGACAAACAATGTTGACAGTGTCCTCAGAATTTCAGCGCAAAAGCATTTCTCCTTTCTAGTGTAAGAATGAATTTGATTTAAAAAAAATATAAATCTTTTTTACTGCATAGGAAACATAGTCATTTCATGCTTTCATATTTTGTACTTGCAATTCTCAAAACTTGTCTTAGAGATACAGCACAGTTCAAGTGGCACAAAGGAAAGGAAAACTCTCAACCTGACTGCTCTACACTTTACTTAACAACTCACTTTGAAACAGCATGTTTATTACATGTTTTCCTCTTAGCAGGAAAAGTGAGCATGCTTGTGTTTGCAGCTCCTCCTCTTTCAAAGACACACAGCTGCAGCTGTAGTAAACAACCACTAGTCAGGAGCTGAGAAGGTCAAAGTCTGGATGCTGCATCCATTTCAGCTTTTCTAAAAACAAAATTTTTATTTCTAGAAATTAATTCTTTTCCTCACTTTGTAGTTATGTCAAGGGAAGGCAAACCACAATCATTCTCCAACAAAAGAAACCAATATACAGTATTTCAAAAGCCACAAGCAAGACACTTCAGTAAAAATAAGTGTTTTCAGATCTCCATCTTTATTAATGAACAAACACATCATTCACACTCTCCTATTTTACTTGATTCAAATGAAGACTTGGTCAAAACCAATTTTATATTGATGAGTCCTGTTCCACAAAGCAAACAACACTTACTGAAGGAAAGAGCAAGGAGGTTGGCCACGCAGAGAAGTGGTGCCAGCAGCTGAGCAAGGTTCACATAGGTCATCCAGCAGCCTGAAGCAAGGAGCCTACAGCACTCTGTGTCTGGGAATGCTTGCATAAGTGGACATCATGCACCCAGCCATGAGAAAGGGCATTCAGCTTTCCATTATTTTACAGGCCATCCAATATCTAAACAATGGGATACCCGAGCAGCACTGAAAACTCCACCAAATTACGCAGATGTTCTGCAACCCCCTGTGCCGCAGAGAGCTCCCAAAGCACCCAGGAAAAGCATTGCCCACTTTCCCCAAATACATGGTCTTTATTTCTATTTAACTGTGGTGGTTACCATCACACACCACCTTGGTCTAGGCAAAGAGGAAAACAGTCACTACCACAGGGTTCTGCAGCCCAAGCCCTCCAGTGACCCCATTCTAACATCTCCCAGGGAAGAGCTATTTCAGCCCCACATTTCTGCCTCCTCTGCGAGGAGTGAAACTGCTCGTGCATGTTCAGGTCTGGCTGATCCTGACAGAAACAGCTGGCAGAGGACTCCACGATTAGCCTGTCCTGGAATCTTAAAGTTTATTTTTAAAAGTTGTTACACAGAGTCTTCTTGGGCTGTCAGGGGCCTTTCCAGAAAAGGTTTTTCTACAAGAAAGCAAAGAAAGGCCTGGAAATATTATAATGAACTACTGCTGGGGGGAAAAAGAATTAAAAATACATGATTTCCCATCCCCTCTATGTATACATCTGATATTGCCTCACTATCAGAAACAGAAAACAAACAGTATCTCCCATATCCTAAACTCCTTCCCAGCCCATCCAGAATAGGTACACTCACTCATCAAATGACCTACGACATGCATCTTTGTCAAAAAGCTTTTTTCCCTCCCAGTTCCAGGTACCACGCATAGTTAAAAAAAATTAAAAAAAAAAAAAGGGGGAAAAAACACTAAAAAGGGAGAGAAAAAGAATTAGAAAGAGGAAAATGCCACCAGTGTTGTTCTGGAGGCCGAGGGGGGGCAGCGGGCGGGGGTGCTGGCCCGGGGAGGGGCGCGCATGGGTGTCACCAAGGGGGTGATGTCATCCACCAGCCCGGGCACCTGCCAGCAGCAGCAGCGTAGCAGCGGCTGCCAAAGCCTCCGGCAGCACGGGGAGGAGGAAAAAAAAATAAAAAGACAGTGAAAAAAAAAAATCCGCAATGTTTCCCTTCGCTATGCGCGGTTGGTTTGTGACGATAGGTGACACGCCAGCTTGCAGAGAGCGGTTTCAACTTGATTACGTCCCATTAGAAGGATATTCAAGACACTCCCCCCCTCTCCCAGCACGAATAATAAATTAAAAAAAAAAAAAAGCAGCCTCGGTTTATGCAGCCTTACGTCACTAATAAAATGCTCCTATCGCCCCATCTGTGACCTATTCAGCACAGCTACTAATCCCACGCTGCGACCACTTTGCTGTTCCTGTGCATTTCAGAGTTGTAGACCAACCAGAGAGCAGAAAATGGAGCCCATATGCCAGCACTATATAAAGCAGCCTCGCAAAGTTGCCTCGAATAATGTACCTGCCGTGGCGAGACGAAAAGTGAAAAGCAAAAAAAAAAAAAAAAAAAAAAACCCAAAAAAAAAAAGGGTGGTGGAGGGAGGAAGAAGAGTACCATTTACTTCACGATGGGTAGTTAAAAAAATAAACTAGTTTACTGTCTTACTTAGGGGAAGGGGAGCTGCCAAGAGCTAGGAGGATTTTACAAGCTCTATACAGACCCCGATGAAGTGAACTTCTCTTCAGTGCTTCCTACCGAAACGACTCGTACCTCCTCCCCAAGCGCACAAAACATCTATTTCCCAAGCAAGCCCGTTTGCGGGACTGAATGCCACGCCAAGATCCGAAAAAAAAACAGCCCAAAAAACCGCTGTCTGGACCGGAGCATCGCATCCCTGCAAACCACGGGGAGGAGAATATAAAATAACCCGTCTGGAAGCTCCTATCCGCCTCCCCCAACATCCAACCACCAGCGGTGGTGCAGGATTTTGGGGGAGGCGGATAGGAGCCACATCTCATCCCAGTGGAAATTTCATCCCGGCAGCGGAAAGCTTTCGGAGGGCTTCACAGGGTGACGCTGATGCCATGGGGTAACCCATCTCCCGCAGCGGCTCTGGGCTCACGCGTTAAATGTAAATACCAGCGGTTTGCTCCCCAAGCTCCCGACTTCTGCAAGAGCGAGCATTTGTTCCGCAGAAGATAATTATTTATGTAGAAGGTAGTACAGCACGACACTCTTGCTTTTTTATTTTTTTCCCCCCATAGCGTGTCACAGTCCGATTTTTCTCCCCATACAGCGTTACGGTCCGATTTTCCCCTCCACAGAGCGCTACACTTTATACTTTTTTGATATTTGTTTTTATGTATTAATTGCCCAGCCCCGAATGCGCACGGGGGCCGCCCGCCCCCACCCACACCCCCCCGGGGACGGCAGCACAAAGGGCTGGGCGCTCCCGGCTCGCTGCTCATCACTCCCCGCTTATCGCTTTTCATTTCCCCCCCTCGCCTTTTACACCGCCACCCCCACCGCTTTTTTCCCCCTCCTAGAGCCTCAGCGGGAAAGTTGAGGGAAAAGTTCGGGCCGGCGCCTAGCACCCTACCCCGGTATCGCTGCCGCCGGGGCACCGGCAGGGATGGAGGCAGGCGGGAGGAGGGGATGGATGGAGCGGGGGAGGGAGCGGGGGAGGGAGGGCACCGCCGTTAACCCCCGGCTCGCCCCGGCGGCGCCGGGGGAAGCGGGGGGGCGCCCTGCCCCCCCTCCTGTTCTTTAAAATTATTTAACTTCAGTATAGGAGCGATATTTTGTTTGTTTGTTTTTTTAAATAGCGGCTGGCTGGGACAGCAGCAGCAAAACCCACACTCATTAGCCGTTTATCCTGCTAAGAAAGGGAATCGGCACAGACCTGAGCAGAAGCGGCAGAGCAGGAGAAGAAACTGTTTCCTTCCCTGACACAGGGTCCCCGCTCTGTGTCTGTCTGTCTGTCCGCCCGCCCCGCGCTCCCCGGGCAGTGCCCCGCGCACTCGCACCCGCACCGGCGGAGGCAGCCGGCGGCCGTCCCCGGGAAATGAATGGGGGCAGCCCGGGGAGCCGCGGCGCTCGCTCGCCGCCGACTTACCCGCGTCACATGATGAGCCCGGGCAGGGTGGGCCGGGGGTGGAGGCTCCCGGCACCGCCTGGCCGCGCCTCGCGTGGGGCCGCCGCGACACCCCGCCGGCCGCTCAGACAAAGGGTCCGGACCCGTGTCCCCCTCCCCAGCTACCGGCCCCTGCTCCGGCCACGGCGGGCGCCGGTGGCGTCGCTGGCATGCGGCGCGTCCCCGCCCCCACCGGCAGCCGGGCGGAGGGAGGGGAGGGAGGGAGGGGCCGCGCCCCCGCCC